GGTGTCCTTGTGTCTCCCGAAGTTTCTGTAATGCTACTAAACGTAGTAGCAGTATGGTAATCAGTCAATCAGAAGCTCTACATGTGACTTTTCACTTTCGTGATGTTTCTGGCTAAACTTCATGTGAACGCCGATTAAATAAAATGCTTCTTAGTGTTTCCTGAGCTTTCGTTGTCTTTTGCAAGAAGTTTTCTGGATCACCCCAACAATAAGGTTGATGTTCAACCCACGGTTCAAAATAATATAAGGGTAACCTATTTCTTTTAATCTACCATATATTAACTGGGTCTCTAAAACAACTTATACTGCCAAAATTAAGTCAGTTACAATTCATTAGTTTTCTCTAGACTGGAATAGTAGCATTTTTTAAATACGAATGAATTCGTTTTATTCACAGTTCCTTATGTTCGAAACGCGGAATTATCAAATCGAAACAAATTATCGATACACTTCAACCAGTTAAATTCAAAGCAAAATAACAGAAAATCCAATACAAAATAAAGACGAAATTCTTAATCAGAGTGATAATTAAAGCACATTTATAGATAGCCTTTTGTGTAGGATTGTAGTTTATCTGCTTATGCTTCATATGTTACAGACTTTATATTTCTATTCAATTAGCTGGGAATTTTACCAAATCCTTGAATATCTACTAACTCCTTACAATTGAAAACAATGGACGTGTAATAATATCAGTAAGGTCCTGCGTTTTTACTAGTATTTTTGATGGCACAAGGATTAATGGAACCTATCATTTACTATCAGTTCTCAAATGCTTAATATTTCGATTATAAAACGACTCTTAGGGTGTAAGTAATCGTCATTTTCTTTGATGAGGCTGTTAAAGTTTTAGCCATTTTATGATTTGACCTCAACTATTCTGTGATTTGTCTATTTAAACGATGTATTTCTGATTGGTTATAGCTCTCATATAAAAAGTATTGAAAAATAAACCTTTTGATTTTATCTATTTCGACCTTACGGGTTGCGATTCAAGGAAGAATGTTAAGATTTATTCTAATTTTCTCAATGATTTTATATCATTCTCTTACTGTGGCAATAGAATTTGATAAATGTGTACAAATTTTGATTGATCTTCCCAACTGTATGATGGAAAAATTCCGAGATCGTAAGTTCGTTTATAAAACAATTCATTCAATAAGGTATATTCTCTACCTTAGTTTATTCAAGATCTTATTAACTGAGTATATTAAAAATACTAATTGTACACTTTGAACCTTAGAATTAAGTTTAAGCGCGTAATCTATGAATTTATACCAAGAAAGCCATCGCAAAGATAAAGTTATTTTGACCAGTTCTAAGTCTTTGTCGATTTGTTGTTCTGTGCAGTATAACCTTTCAGGGAGTATCCCTTGGTTACCATTTATTTCCCCTTGTTGAGTTATGAAGACTGAAGAATAATTGAATATACTAAAAATTCACCTTGATAAATTATTACTTATGGCAAGTTGTTGTTGATACAATCTACAATTATTTTTTCGTTTGATTATTTACTTTCCACACAGCTATTTATCTGTATGAACCCGTAGGTAACTGGAAATGTTAATCAGTTTACTGCAGATTTCCCTAGACTGGTTATAAAAACGCAAATATGTAGAAACTGTCATACCGACCAAAAATGGTATATATATATATATATATATATAATTCACACTTATCATTTTGTAAATATCTCCATAACTAGTGGAGTTACGTTTTATATGTATAGAAAAACTGATCACTTCAAGACAAAGACGTGATTCGGTACACCTAGCTTTCACTACTCATGTGTACAATCTAACTATATGATCAGTAACTCTGATAAACTAAATGTCAGACTCGGTAGAGATAATGTTTCGTTTTAGTTTTTTGCAACTTATTTACATTATTTTTACTTGGATTTCAATGTCATTCTTACCCAAGAAACAAAAGATATCCAAGATAAACTAAAGGAATGCAAAGAAGATGCAGAATGTAAAATGCAGTATATTATTTGTGTACAATCAAAACTAGCTTTATGTGATGACAACGTTATCAAAAAGCAAGTTCAAGAACAATTGAAATCATTCTTGCAGTAAACTTGGTTCATACATATATTATGCAACTGATGTCAATAGAACAGATGATCTGGTTAAGTAATTTCTGTGATATTTTATCGATAATATTTTTTCCTTGCATATTCCCTGCATACTTGTCATACATAGACTTCACACAACTAAAAGATCATGTCATCTCTTTCAAGTAGAATTTTGTTATTTATATTTAAATTAATAAATACCTTATCAATATAGTTTAAAAGGCTATTTCAAGCAACAGAGTTGTATTTAAATTCTCAACATTTCTTAAAAGAAACAGTGTTTTCAGTGGATAACTACTAATATTAGGTCATATATTTAGTATAATGTGGAAATGGTTGATGACCTCTAGTTGTATTGAAATTACCTTTAGTGCATACCACAACAGAAATAACGAGAAACCTAAGGCATGCTGAAAATGATTAACATTATTTACAGACGCTTGATGCAATAACTACTAGAGTAGAGAATACTGATACTGGGAAATCAGTTTATATCGATCAAAGGAACTTCACCAGAAAAAGATAAGTCTTAAACCCTGCTAGCTAATTACTAACCAATGTCATAAGAAAATAGTGGATGGTAGTAACAAAAATTTCCTGTAAGAAATGACATCAAGAACGGAGAAATCAGATTAGTGATGTCATTAAAGTAACCAGACAAAAATATTCTCTATACATAAAGGCTTATCTACCAAGTTAGATGCGGTAATACAGGAAAGGGTTGTGTCAGTCTTTTCGGTAATTGATAAAACACATTTTGGAAAAACAATTAAATTCCTAAAACTCTGTTGAACCTAGTTACTGTTTACAACGCATAATGAGATGGTGGAGAGGATTTATAACTCAGGTGGATGATTTTGATGATTAGATATCCGTTCTTTTGAAAGATTGTCTTGAGGTATTTTTCTATATTCTTTCGTCCTATGTCAGCTTCACTTCTGCACATCAAAACAACTAAAAGTTGCCAAGTTTTATAGGTTTCTTTCAATTGTTTTGACTGACAGTAGTCTGGGAATTAACTGGAGGCAAGTGTAGGATCCGGTATATCTGTCCTGTTAATTCAATCAGTGACTTGCTTCCGAGTTTGAATAGATCGAAATTAATATAATGACTGGCAATTTCCCTATAATAAAATGCAAGTAGGTAAACAAGATGTGCTATTAGAAGATATGTTAATACAAACAGAACTAGTATACATAAACAATCATTTCTCCAACCAAGAATAAACCAATTAAAATAACACTCATAAAAACCCAATCATCGAAATACGAAAAATATTCCTGTGAGCCGGTAAATATAATTCTACACTAGGGAAAGAAATATGTAAATTCAGATTGCTTTAAACATGAGCGATAAATTAGAAAATGAGAATCATATAAGTAAGGATTTCGCATAAAATTACCGGTTGTTAACTGTGAACCCTCATAAAAAGGAAAGTGTTCCAGTTTCAGTCATAAATTACAGAAATCAGTTCATTTAGCAACAATCGAATGACAGTTATTTGGTATGGTAATTGCTCAAACAAATTGTTTAGTAAAGCAGAGATGAAGTAGCTGTCAAATAACTTAACAAACCTAAGAAGTTTGTTAATTTCAGAATCCGTAAAAGTTATTATAACATAATAATCAAAAACGGATCAAAAATATGAATGTAATATATTAGGAGACAGAAGGATTGCTTGTAGAAGTAAATATAGGAAATTCGCAAATGGGGTGGATGGATAGGAGATTTTCATATGCATATGTTCACGAAAATAATTTCTGTCAACTCAACTCCGTATTGTGTTTTGTTCAGGTTCCCTGTCGACTGTTATATGAAGTGACATCTCTAATAGTCTCTTGAACGGTTATCAACACTTGTCTTGTGTTACTTACCAACGTTAATATAACATCCATCCTATATCTGTAATAAATCTTTAGACCAAATTATTGTGTGATATTTTGTTATGAACGTCATGAATGAAAGAATATATTCGTTAAATGGAAAGTTTTGGGGCGAAAACTTCACGTCCGTAACGCATGTATAATGCCATTAAATCAGTAAAACATACGAGATCAGTAGACTTACATTGTTGCCCTCCACAACACTTCATCCTTTAATATATGGATTATTCAACACTCAAAATAAATTTCACTTTCCTATTTAAGCCAAGGTCAAAACTTCAAAATCGTACGTTCATAAAACCCACAATAAAATTATTTGACTAGCACAAGTTGAGTAAAAGCAGAAATGTTAGGACAAATAAACTATATCATGTACTACCACTGGTGAATAACGTAGATATGTATCTGTTGACTTGATTACTATGATTATTGTTGAACAGAAAATTCCTAATACTTTCTTTATATAAGCCAAAAGAACTGTGAACATTCGTTTGTCTAAAGTTTAGTGAAATCCTGAAAACACTTCTGCAAACCTCACCAAAGTTTATTTGATTGCCAGCTTCAGGAAATTATGAAATATATCTAAAGTATTTTCAACGCCACGTTCATTTATTGCTTAACGTTAAAAACCCCCAAAATTATTACTATACGTTTTGTTGTCAAGAAAAAAAACGAGATCTGAAACAAAATGTGAAGAAACTGTAAACGTAATACAAACTCCCAATTACAGCACACTGGAATTGCTGGCCGATTAGACTTGAAATCATATTTCTCCTCATTGTTCTGAAGCGTTCCGTAGTAAAATAATTACGGCCTCAGAAAGATAACGAGAAACTTGAATTTCACAAATGAACCAGCTTGTGGAATAAAAACTGGTGAACTTCGGAATTAACTATTCAGCTATCAGATTTGAAAAATTAAAAATTACATATAGAAAAGCAAAGTGTACATGGTTCGTTACCATTTATTGTAGACATTCTTTTTGACAGATCAAGGACCTGAATCCGAACTGAAACAACATATAGCGGGCACGAAGAATTCCGACAGTACATATAAGATCAACAGGGTATTGCTTATTGAAACTTGTGTGTTTGATAATTTGGCGGCATAAATGAGTCAAGGTCGGGGTTTGGAAGGTAAACTTGATTGAATAGTTAGGGTTTCTTAATTACTCAAAATGATAACTAAAAATTCATGGGAGGAGTCATTTTGCAGAAATTTGTGATTAATGAGCTCTGGAGGCTATTAATATATACATGAAATACCGCTTCGTCACTCATTCATCGAGTTTACTAATCAGAGATCAAAAAAGTTTGATTTTTCTGAAAGTAACAAAATCAGATTATTGTTTATCAGGGGAAATTTCGGCGATGGTTAGTCGATTTTGGGAATTTAATGACCTTCTGTATGACTCCCACTTGCTTGTGTGCTGATCATCATCGAAGTATAAATATCGCCTTTACTCTTATATAATTATGAACTTAGTCCGCCTTAATGAATACATAGAAATGCAAGAATGGTCCATAAATATGTATACTTCATCAACTTATCTTTTTGAACAGACAATCAGGGTAACGAAGTGAAAAAAGCAAAGAGGAACGAGCAAATTGGATCGGAATGACTCAATAGAAAAGGCGAGTGAGCCGACTTTCTTAGGCTAAATGGTTATTCAAAATTGGTGCGACTAAGTGAGACTTGGATTCATGGTTGGACTTTATGGTTAAAATTTGTAATTAAGGTTCTCATCGTCGACTAATATCATTTATGATGTCGAAATGCTAATTAGCTATATGGGTGAATAAATTTCGCGCTGCTATGCTCCCTCACTAAACTCAAGACATCAAGAGGATTACAGGCTAATATCTTCATATTCTATTATCTGAAATAATGTTTTTTCTGATTGTTCTCTTTTTCGATGTTCAGAAGCATAAGAAATGAGTATTATTTGGGATAAATAACGTTTTAGTACATGAGTGTATCATTTGCTCCTTTAAATAAGAGCTTTAGATTTTGTAATACTTCCAAAATACAGTATACCCAAACTGTTTCTCCAACCCACCCACTCTCATTTCCAGTCGAAGTTCCTCATAAACTTTAATGTTTTCTATATTATAGTCGCTTAACAATTTATTACCATGTATCTTATTTATTTATTTGAACACATATATATTGGTACAGGAGTGCGCCAAATATGTATGTGCCATGTATCTATTTATGTTCTTATATTGTCCTTCATTAGTCTCTCTGCTGATTATGCGCGCAGTGTTAATCAGAACCTTTTCACACACATCAGTTCTCGAATTATGGTTTCAGAATGTTTATCAGTTAGTTAAAGGAGAATTCTCACTATTTTTCACCCCGTTTACTTATAACCCTACCTTCAAGCATTTGTGGTGTAAGACAAGCTATAGTTTGTGGTCAGTGAACGCTTTGTACTTACATTTACCTTTGATTTGAGGTCGCTCTAGTATAACAAAATAAGTATAATTTGTTCTGAAGAAAGTAACTTATATGGGATATCATCACTTTAGTTCATTCTACTTTTTCGGATACTTCTAACTAAGTTGTCTTTGTTGATTAATCTTTAGTGTTGAAAAGATTCGGAAAATTTATATTGTACCCGAATTTTTAAATATAAGTGCAAGCCAGTTTATAAGGTTATGGGCTTGATTCAAAATAGTCTTATCAAATACAAAATTACTGTGTAAGATAAAATGATGATTCAGTCATACTCAACGTGGAAGCTGAAAAATTACACAGGTTCAAGTTGTTACATTTCATGGATCCATGAATTACGATAATCGCGCGTATTCCAACTGGGTAGCTTACATTTGCTTGTATGGCTCAGTTCAACAGTCAGTGTCTTTACGGACTGGTATCACTTTTTGGTTTGGCGGTCCCTTGTTCTTTCCCAGCCTTTTACTACAATCCATAATTTCCTGTCGAGGTAATCAGCGGAAGGGCATACCCAATACATGTCTTAAGTATTTGCTTGTCGACGTGGAACACTTTAAGTCCTATCCAAGTATTTTTCACTGGTTTGAACTATCTACTTGGGTGTTAAAGTCTCCTGCCACAATTAAGTCTAAGCGTTCGGTATTTGCAGGAGATTGAAAAGCTTTATGTAAAACATTTTCTATTTCGTCCGAACTTCAGTGAAAGCATAAGAATAGATGATGAAGAGCCAAAGGTGTGTTTCCTTATCTTTTCTTGTTCTTACTTCCCCATATAGTCTGGCAACGCACAAGTCTCTGTTTTAGGAAATTCAGTTTAGGCCTTATTCTGCTTTATAACTTAGTGCTGTGCCTACACCGGGAAACCCAAGAGAAGTCAAAGTCAAGTCCTCAGATGCATAGAGGGCAAACAGTGTGGTTTCCCTTGTTTATTAATAAGGTTAAGTGAATGACCACTCTTGAATTCTGTATGCGTACTTTCGAGACACAGTATATATCAATGGCACTAACTTCTAGGATCCTAGCCAAGGAAGATTGTTAGTCTGTTTGAAATAAAGTCCTGACATTTTGTTTAGTTCGCGGTCTTGAGAGACTCAAACAGCGTTGTTGACGTATGAGGCTAAAATCATAGAAGAGTTGACAGTGGTGATAGAAGGAAGTGAGAAGTGACGAAGTACTTTGACCGAAAAGATCTCTAATGGCGGTTGTCACTTCCCGATTGCCCACACCATGGAAGGATATTTCTACTTGAGAAAACTGAGGACGAGATTGGGTTGGTAGTAGTGCTGACCTAGAAGCGTGAACTCAGCGGACAACTGTTTTAGGCCGGTCACGCACGGTCTTTCTGTGAAGTTTATAATGTGTTGGCTCCGTGTTTCAAAAGACCTTACCACCGGAGACGGAAATCCGTGGGGTGTGACATTTTTAGGACTCATCTTTTCCAACTCACTCCCCCCATGTGACAAAGCTGCAGATGCTGGCTATCTGAGGGGAACACAGTGCCGTGATATCTTTGTACAATCAGCAGTGGAACTTCGTCCTTGGACCGCAATTTGCCGCTTTTAGTCTTACTGTTTTCTAACCAACCTAACTGGTATTGTAGGGCTTAAAGGAGCAAGTTCTAGTCAATATAACTTGATGAGCTTTTTGTGATAGACAAACCATCACGTCTGGTGATTAATAAATCACGCTTATTTTAGATAAATACTAATATGGCCGTACCAAATGTATTCCATCATTCTACCAGGTACTCGGTTATCAGCCATCAAATAATGGGTTCAGTCTTTCTACATATATTTTAGTTTTTGACGGAGTTTTGTTATTTGAGCTGGATGGTTTTGTCGTGGAGCTTTCAGATAAGTCAGAGAACAAAACTCCATCAAAACCATCCGCCTGAGCTATAAATCTTCCCCACCATCTCAATATATTTTGTTTTCCATTATCTTGTAGTAACTTCAATCCTTTTGAAATAATATAGTATTAATATCTGTAATGCCCAGTCAGTATTTGATAGCTCTCATTTTTATCGCTTAGACCAGTATGGAGTGCCTGAGTTCAGAATCGAGTGCAGTTTGTGACAGTCAAGCTACCAATAACATCAGAAATTCCAAACCTAAAAGCGATGTATCTAGGCAAAAGAAAACATCCAAAAAGTCACATCACCATTGCAGTCACAAACAAAACAATAATGATTGCTGCAAAACTACTTGTAAACCCGACGTTCTACGAAATCTTTCAACTGTAATTCAAAACTGGAAGCTGGGTGATAAAGCTCCATGCCACAAAACAGCAAATATTGAAAGCACTTTTAAAAACATTGAGAAACGAATCATTCATGGAAGTGTTGAGAAAGTTTCACCTGACTGTCAGGCTCCTGGGGGTGGACTAGCTTACCCTAAAGAGACCAAGTTTATTTTTCATTATCAAATTCGTAAACTGGATGAAGACCGTACCGTGATTGATGATACCCGTAAGTATGGAAAAACGATGGAGGTGTACTCGGGAAAAGAATTCCAACTGGAGGTAAGAAGAGCACGATTTAGTTATTGGTAATGACGAAGAATAGTTTTGTTTTTTTCAAGTTAGTTCATCAAAAATGTCCATTTGTATTCGTCATATGAAAGCGAAACATTACAAGTACTTTGCAACTTAAATGAGATATATTTTCATGTCTAGTCCAAAGCAGAATTATTTCTAGCTGCATATTTGTTAGGTATCTTTTAATCCTTCATAATAAGCTATCAATAACTACCCGTTTTACTGCGTTTTTCAAAATCTATTATAGTTAGTCATAGATAATCTGACTATATAAGCAGAAATAAAACTTAGTTATCGTCCTAACCAATTATAGGTTCAATTGCTTCGCCTATTATTTTCATTTTCCACTCATATTTCCACATTTTCTTATTACTTCATAAGGTCGCTAAAATCATTAATTTACAGTTAACTTTTCCTTTCGTTATATATTCTCACCAAGTCGGTATTTTTTATGTACCTCTCCTTTTTTGACTGCAATCCGTAATCTTTGTTTTCTGTACTTGTTTCACTCACTTACATGTTTTCTGTAGGTTACAGTTTCCTTTCCAATGCATTTAAAGCATAATTACGTGGTTATTGCTTACGAGGAAATCCGTTGTAATACTAACCTGTTTGGAGCAGAAAGGAGGCTACAATACGATACAAATTTATTTTTGCTTTATTTACTATCATTATCAAAGCAACTAAATAAACGTTTATCTTCCTGACCTAATAAAGATAATTTTCTACTTCAACGTTGTTGATCCTTGGCTCCTATCTCACCATACCTACTTAGGTTTGGGAAATCTTGTTAAACTACTCTTTAACTGAAAGATCTATAGCATCCGGAAATTCGTGCGTCATGTAATATCCATAAGTGAGTTTGAGGGGATCTTTCAATCCTCAGAATGTTCATACTCCCCTTAGAACTCCATACTGTTATTGAGCGGGGTTCTATAATTTGATGAGTGACGACCGTGATAAATTCTCAAGATGTTGGGGAGAATCCAATTCGATAGATAATGCTTAGTTTCAGTATTTGCCCAACTGATCGCTTCTCACGAGACTGAGTTATTGATGCAAACTTTAAATAAATTGATATTCCAGGCTAGCAAAATTACTGACAAATACGTTCCACTTGTAGTAAAATAGCGTCCTCGTGCAAAGAATACTAGACATCAAATTGAACATTATTAAATGACATTTAAGAAGTAAGCTATCGGTAGGTAAAATTTTACTGGATGACCCACTTTCCAACAGAACTATGACACCTGGCTATCAACCTTAGTTTTTGTTCTCCATATTAAGATTTGATGTGTGAGGTAGCGAATTTTGAAGGGAGGTGGATTGATAACTTAATTCCTTATCATTCCATTGATAGATCTATCGCAAAGTTGTTATAAACTGACTTTAAATATATTTTTGCAACCTTAACTCACTTCAGCTCTTAAGATTATTCAAGAGGTACACTTCTCTATATTTCAATGTCCCTTTTTAGTTTTGGGAACAATGTTTAGGAACTATGTTGCCTGGTGAAGTTTCATCATTTGTTGTACCACCTGAAAGGTTGGCTTCATTTCCAGCTGTAAATAAAAAACTCCGTGATTACATGTTAAATAAAAAAGATCATTCTGCAAAACACTGTTGTGGATTAATGAGCTTACAAGAGCAAGGTGGTTTGGGCTACCCAGATCTGGACGAGTTGATGATAAAACCTGAAGCACTTGAATTTATTTTTGATTTAGTTAAGTAAGTTTATCCATTTAGTTTTGTTATTTCTTGGTGTTTGAAGAAGAAAATTATTTTGATATATTTAATTAATCTAAATTATAAAGATAAATTTCATACAATATGAACAGTTTAATTATATGTATCGTAAATACTGTCGTTTCACCTACCAGTCATATACATAGTGTTTGCTGTAGTGTCTTTATAAAAACCTGTGAATACCGAGTTAGTATGAGCTGGGTTCTAACTCGATTTTATAACTGAAAGTTGAGCGCTCAAACCACAGATCTATAGTTTATAGTCATCAAAATAATCTAGTTGCGGTGTCTTTAACACAATAATAATAGGGTTTTTTTATTCTCATCAAAACGTTTGCACTTTCATGCAAAAGTAAAATAAAGCCTCCTAGTTCATATTCCTATCCAGGATTCATGTAAAATAAAGCAATATCCAGTGCTTGGGTTATCGTAAAATAATTCGACTTTATGGTTATTTTGATTAATTATTCTCAAATCCATAACCAGTCACAAATAAAAGCAAAACCTAATGTAATACCTAATCAAAAAGCTTTATTAATATATTCCTACAACAATTATCAATGTATTATTATGTTTTTAATATATTTTTGATTTGGTAGCAAATGAATGTTATATATATATATATATATATATATATATATATATATATATATATATATATATAAACTACCAATCAACTTAATTCTCATACGCTCTTCAACCGAGTTTCTAGATGGTATTTAATTCCAAGTCTTTAGTATGTTTTAGAAGTGGAAGAATCGAAGAAATTTGCTATTAAATCAATAAGGGCGTCCTACTGGTCTTGAATTTTCAATGCTAATTATTTTTTCATGTTTTAGACCACACCCATGAACTGTATGTGGCTGTAATGTTAAAGTAATTTGAGGTTTATGTCATTAGAAGAAGGTTCAAATTTGATAAAATAATCTGTAATATGATACTGAGAAAAATAAGCCATATTTAATTAATATGATATGACTACTAGAAATAGATATAAAATCCCGTCCCCAGATTTCGCCCTGACTGACACTCATCTGCGACTACAAAAAACAAGTGCTGTAGCACTGGTCCGTACTCATGTCACTCAGTACTGCAGTCACAGATGTTATCTCTGAGTTATTCAATTCGAAACCAGTCAGTCAGTAACAACGTAGAACTTCGTACGTACGTACATCAGTTCGAGTTGCCATACCACATTAGCACAGAGATGCAGTGGTCGATTCAAATCCCGTAGTGGTAGAGGTAGCAAGAGTATAAGCAGTAATCGGGAAGATTAGGGTTTGGAGATGTTATTTAACGAGTATAATCCAGTGAAATAAATTTGGAAAGAGGAAAAAAAGGGACATGAATAATTCAGAAGATTAGAATTTGGGAGAACATAGAGAGTGGATGCACCTGCGCCATTGCAAACGATTTTGAGCCATGTCATTCAGGGTCTCTAACCATCGGTTGCTATCATCTCGCGGTCCCCAACCAGGTAGTTTACACCTACCAACATGACTCAGTCCACTTGTCACTGACTTCATGGATTTGTGCCATGTTTTGGTTTGGCCGCCCCTAGCTTTCGAAACCAGTATCCTATTACTATTCATTAATGCTGGTCGAATTCTACAGAACCACGGAATTAAAAAAACTTTAATAATGTGGCGTGGTAATTATTATTTCATGACTTAAATTATTAACAGTTTCAACTAATATTGCGTCCAATTTGTTTTATATCACAAAATGAATTCAACCAAGAACTGGAGTTCGGCCCAGTATATTGTTGTCATTGTCTCATGACATTTATAAGTAATACTAATATGCTTTAGAGTTCAATAAAGAAAGGTTTCGATCAATAATTTTATTAGAAATTAACCTGTTCATATATCAGCTTAAGACACTAATAAGTTATTTATCTTATTCAACAAAAATTTAAAGCCTGGTACTTAGATTGGCCATTTGCTCTATCTAAAAATCATTTTTCTTTTATGCTGAACTGTGCAACTTGAATCGAACTGTTGGGAATGTACTCAATAATAAAATCTTGTGACCCTAATGCTCTTTTCACACACATTGAAATTCTTATTATTATATTTACGACCTGAGAATGAAGCATAAACATTCAACTGTAATCGTAATATCACATAAACCTAAATTGTGAGAACAAATCTAAAATATTTGAGAGTTCAATTGCTCATTATTTCTTTCACCCATCAACAAAAGTTATGAACATTAACTATTTTCTGTTATATTTCCCCTTCCTTCCACTCTGGATACAAAGAAAACTACTTGAGGTCATAGATTTTCGATTGTCATATTCAGTAAACTATTTCCTTAGTCAGTTTCTTATATGTGAAATAGACTATAAAAGCTTCATAATAAGTGTCGTTCCTTTTACTTGTCCAAGTACTGACAAAAAGCAAGCCCATATACTAAAAAAAAACAGCACTTAGCTGTGAGGTAGTTAAATCTGAATCATTTTCTTCACTTTTCTACTAATTCCTGAAATTAAACTAATGTAAACTTAGACCTCCTGGTTTATACAAAATTAAATAAGATTGGTTCGGCGAAGAGTTCTCCTTTTGGCGAATTCATTTTCAAAGCTGTACAAACGCATATATATATATATATATATATATATATATATATATATATACTTTTTTTTCAGGATAATAATTACAATAATAACAATAAACTTCTGTTAGACATAGTAACAGTGAGGTAGAATAAAAAAAGGTATTGAAATTTTTTTAACCAAGGAAACTAATATTAGTTTGATTGTTAAGGGCTTAAATATTCATTATGTAGATAGGGAAAAATTATGATTGAGAAAGGATGGCTCAGCATGGTAAGATAAATTTGAAATGAAACGTAATCAGGAGGATCATAGAAACAGAAGTAAACCAGTTAGGGGTGGAGGGTTTAAGGAGAAGATGGAGGAAGGAATAGATGGCTGTAAAGGCGGAATAGTATGATGAAAAAAACCATGAAACATTAGGACCATGGTAGAAGAGGTTGTACCAATCTCTTTTGGACACATCATTCTGGCTTTCCCAGATGTATAGCTATTGCTTCGGCAATGTTCAGAAGATGCAATATAACTACCTTTGACAGACTTCTATTTACCTTGTAAATGACTTTGAACTCAGAAGCCGTCTTGATTAAGTGACCTGTGTTCATAAAGTATTCGATTACTGAACTCTTATTGATCCGTTTCCGCCTCTTTTTAGTCACACGGGGTAATGTTCTTGAATTCTTTTGGATAAAGTACGCATCGAACGACCTATACACCTGGCTTCACACGAGCGGGTAAATTGGTAATTACACATAGAGTTGGTCCGATTAGATCATTTATCCTTAACATTACTGATGAACAATTATAGGCTGGAGAATACTATCTGCAACGTTGCTGCGAAGAACGCTCTTTTTGAAGACTCAGAAATTCTCCTCTTCGGGACGTTTGTAACTCTATCACCCTTAAAATCGATGTTCATGTATAGTGTCGACTGAGGTTGTTTGTATTTTAGGCCGTCCATGTTTTATGTTCTTGTCAATAAGTATCGAAGGATACCTGTTTTTGATAAGTATTTGCGTCAAGAGCCCCAGTTCATCATCTATGACCTCGAGACTACAAGTTCTTTGTATTCGCGTAGCAAGTGATATTATGAGGTTCCTTTTCCGACTAATGGGGACTCAGCTGTGGGAACTTGACAGTTAGCCATTCCACATGGGTTCCCTGTAGATAGATCTTAGAGTTCCGTCTTGTTTTCTTGTCATTTCCACATCAAGGATGTAAATATTCATCTTGTTTTAAACTTCAAGTGTGAAATTTAATGTTGGGTGACAGTTATTAAGTGTCTTTACATGATGACTCAAGTCATATTTGTTGTCACAAATGATAAAGATATCATCTACGCACCTTTTATACAAGTGAAAGTTTTTGATAATCGTTTTAATTTGGTTGTTTACTAGACTGGTTATGAAGCAATCTGCTAGTAATGAACCGTCATTGAATGTAAACTGTACATTGCAAGTGCAACGCAGTAGTAGTTCCTTCAAATAAGCTTTCGGTATTCCGATATTAATCTCATTATTATTTATGTATTTGCAGACAATATAATTTCTTCGGCAGTATTTATCTCATGGACCTTAACTTGCACAGTTCAAACCGATGGTTACTGACTCCATACGCTAGTGCTACATCGTCGTCTGACGAAATTTAGCTTATTTAAAAGCTTTTTCTATATCGGTCGGTATACTACACTGACGCAAGTGCTAGCTGTGATGTTAATGTACGTCCCAGTCATTTCAGTCGATGAAAGTTATTAAATTTAACAATTGATATATCAGGTGATTTAGTTTTCTGTTCCATCAATGCTGCTCGCTAGACGGTTTAATCATCAAAATTAATGATTGAATACTTGCAACCTGTGGAATTTTATACTCTTACATGTTGTGATTCCTATCTGCATTGTAATACTGGAAGAATTGCTGTATATTATATTTATCTTTTTGACTAACCTAAAGACCTACATAATCAAATTTCAACTGTAATTTGATGAGTAATATATATTTTTATATGCTATTCTAGAGTTGAAATTCCGGGTACTGGTAATCGTAAAGAAACATGGATAATGACGCCTGAAGAGAAATTGGAAACTGTACCAGTTTTACGCGAAGAAGGTAATCAGTTGTATAATCGTGGGGAATATAATAAGGCTGCTGCGTGTTATAGTGAAGCGTTAGGCATTTTAGAACAATTAGTTTTACGTGAAAAACCAGGAGAACCTGAGTGGATTGTATTGGACAAGTTACAAATACCATTATTTGTTAATCTTGCACAATGTCAATTTAAAGAAAAAGTAAATAGCTTATTCATATGACCGTTTTAAGTGTTTGAATTCTCAATACTCTTTTTTAATTATAACAATTTTATCCTAACTTACAACCTTGTTGCTCGAAATCATGTTTTTGACTAGGTTTCGAATGGATTAGATGATAGGTTTTTTAATTAAAATGTTGGGTTTCTGTTCTTAAGGTTAGAAGCTATGGTTAAAACATTATGATTCGCAAACTGATAATTATTTCGTGTTAGAATTTTTGATGCTGTATAATTTTATTACCTTTTGTGATAGATAACTCTCACAAAAACCATATTCTAATTGCCTAACATGAAAGAACATGGTTTTCCCAAATATGCTACCTATACATTCTATTTTGTCATTCGTCCCCCTTGCTATACCTTCGCTTCTATACAACGGTTTCATATATTTTGACTATTCTGTACAGACCTCTAAGTGATAAATTTAAATTGTACCGACAAAGCACGACTTGCTCCAGATAAAGTATCTGCTTGCAAAACATCCAATATCTAATATACAATTAGTATTATTTGCCTCAATGTTAAGTTTGACTAAAATGAAGGAAGTCTCCGTTCTACTGATTCATTCCAGCAGTGTTCACTGCATCGAGAAAATTAGCCGTCCTTATAATCAGCTAGTATAGATCAAGCTATGGTGAAAAATTAGTTGAAAACAAATATTTATTCACTTTTATCTAGCCCTTTTACTAAATGCCTGAATGAAATTTTTCACTTTACTAAGAACCGATGGGATAAGTTTGAAAGTAAGATTAGGTTAGTCAGATTAACAAATTGTGAAACTAAAATAATGGTCGAAATTTAAAACTATAATATTTAGATCAGGTCCTACCGTGTTTGTGTCCCTATTCAATAATCATTTTCTTCGTATTATCTCATTATTTAAAGAAATTCGAGAATATCTTAAGGACATTATAGAAACGTCCGAAAATCGATTTTTAAAAGTCGACGAAGCAGCTACGTTGTAAGTCACATCTTATTATCACAGGTTACATCAACAGAATCCCTCTTGAAATGAAAGAATTATGAATTAGGTTTATCATTCCCATAATTTTGATGGCATCTTGAATGAGATTGGTCTTCTGGCCAAATGCGCATCAAATATCGTTCTAAACAGTATCTTAATTGAAGACTTTTTAGGTAGTCTTGCTTTATATTTGTGGCGTGTCCGCACTTCAAACAAGCGACTAACTAATATCTGAAATTGTGCTGTCGATCCCTGTTGATATTTTCGTTATGCTTTATTCCCTCTCCATGATAATTCCTAGGACTACTATGCTGCAATAAAAAATACTACTGAAGCCTTATCACGAGATCCTACAAATGTAAAAGCACTTTATCGCAGGTCTAAGGCGTATATAGAAACTTGGGACTTTGATCTAGCTGCTGAGGATCTACGTAAGCTAGCCATTTGTCGTCCGGAAATGAAGGACACAGTCGAAAATGAACTAAACATTATCGAGGCTAAACGTGTCAACGAAGAAATCAAAGGAAGACAAAAACTAGCTGGGAAACTCTTCGCTTGTCCAAAATCAGTCGCGGAATCAAATATAAATTAAAGATGTATAATAATAAATTCAGAAATATTCGTGTCAGTATTATATGTACTTTGAGTAAGTAATATTTTGGTCTACTTGTATGACTAATTTATATCCGTATAGTTGCCTTTTTTCGCTTTAACTGAGTGAAGTCTTCAGAATTAATCGTCCTAATTACCCAAGGTATTCTATTTTTTTCTAGTTTACTTTCGTGGTTGAGTTAATATAGCTGTAACCGAATTTGTACTCCGTAATTAAACAATATGAGATACACAGTTGAGGATTGGAGTTCAATGAAACCTTGGGTGCGGAAGAATATGTGAGTCTGACAAGATCTCACTCCTAACCAAGCATTAAGCGCGTTTCCGGAATCTATCTTAGATTTCTATCTAGATGTAAACCTAGGCGGATTGGAGAGAATCAGGAAGTAAATTTAAGTTATTTTGAAAAAACGTATATAACTAATTAATGAAAAAATTCATCGGTCACAAAATATCAGTTTTCTCAAACCTTTGCTCTAATTATCCTAAAATCGTCAATGCTAGTTTCAAACACGTTATCAGTGGATGCCTGAGTCATAAATAATGAGCTCAACAGTGCTTGATTCCACCACATATTTTTATTAAAAAAATCTAGTTCGTAAAGTTTCTTGATTATCGAATGAACCACGCATTTTTATGCAGTTGTACTTATATGAGATTTAACGTAATATTTGTGGTGCGAAAAAGATTAAAACGCCACTTTCCTGGTACAAAACAGATAAATGTCTGTACTTTCTAGTTTTCTTCTAAACAGTGATAAAAAACTTATATTTCGAAACGTACGTTACTTGTCTAATACTCCTATATTTTTTGTTTCCATACAATAGATATCTGAAAATTGATTCAAGGTTTGTGCATTTATGATGGAACAGTCGTCTTTTTTTCTGCGTCTATATATTTCCATCTTAAATATCTTGACTGTGATATAACTACTTGCACCAGTAGCTTTTTTAATTTCATTTCATTTGTGGATTTTCTTTTGATTGTATGTACCCATTATATTGTAAATACTATATTGAAAATGAAATGGATTATACTTGTTCATTTGTAGTAATAATGAAACTAGTTATAAGCCCTTGATTGCATTACTAACCTATTTTCATAAGATACAAATGAAGAAATTCAAGTCCACAAAAATCTCTTTAAAAATACTGATAAAAAAATAATCAGTCATATTGTAAAAACAAAAATAAAGGGATATAATTAATGATAAATTCGAAAGTAAACTATATAAATTAAGTCTCATTCAACTTTCCTACGCTTTCGACGAAAATCGAAATCAAGGCGATCATCATCATTTATCTGTTGTGATCCTGACTTAGAACCAACTCTACGATTATTTCCTCTGCCTCTAGTTGAACCACTAGAAACTGAATCAGTTCGTACGCCACGTCCGCGCCCACTTCGCTTAGTTTTTGGTAATGCTTCATTCAGTGGATTGACTGAGCTTTTTCCTACATAATTTTGCTTGGAAGATTTACCTTCATTTAATGAACTTATGTCGTCGTCGGTGGAAACGTCTTCAACCATATCCGCTAGTGTTGTCGCCTCGTCCTGGTCAGAATCAAATCCAAAATCATTTTTCGTTTGTAGTATAAGTTGACAGCTCGGCACAGACTTTTTATTGGTTGCTTGTTTTGTTTGCAATGTTGCTTTACCACTGACTTTGTTTACTCGGACTTTTTCTGGGGTTAGATTACTGTGTTTTGGTATCTGGAATCAGAAGTGTAGGTAGGATACTAGTTTTATGTATTAGGAAAAGCAAATTAACTGAACATTAGTGTAGTAATTATACTTAGTGATAGTATAATATTAGTGTTTGTTTAATCCATAGGAAATTTCAGATTGAATCGGATCATAAATTACTTATTTTCGTTCAGTTATAGTGTTTTACAAAGCAACACGAGTCGTGTTACCTAGGTTACTTTACTATCTAATTATTAATTAATTACATTCCCATCAGAATAGAAATATGACATTCAGCAAAAGTATCTCTTTTCAGTGAACTTATTATCAACTTGTAAAACAGTGAATAAGTATTGTGGCGTAATAACGGGATTACTAGGTTAGCGTAAATGATAAGGCTACAATTTTGTGTAACTTCCTTTTATCTTCATCAAAACGCTATTATGTATTTAGCTGATACGTTTGACACTTTACAAACAAGCGTATTCTACTTGTAGCCAGTTACAAAGTACTGACACAAGTAATAAGTGCACGAATAAAGTAATCTAATCAAGCTGACATTAACGGGTATAAATTTTTGTTAGAACCTACACTTTTGTGTTTTAATGAAGATCTGGTCGAAAAACAGATCCATAAATCTGTTAAGTTTTCTCGTTAGCAAAAGATGCCTCATATTCCTGAAAATCTTAAAATTATGGAAGAACACATTTTTATTGCCTGTTATCAGATGTTAGTGTTAAGTTCGTTTGTATTCTTTTCACATTTTTTGTACATTACTTTATATTTACTCGAGAAAACCAGCCTGATTTCGACCCTGTATGCGGTCTCTATAGACCAAATATTCACATTCCGGCAGGTTCTGCAACATAGATATGCTTTTCGATGACCGACAGTAATTTTAGTCCTTGACATTAAGGCGGCGCTCGACTTAGTTGACTGTGAGGTTCTGTAGCAGTCTGTCATTGAAATGCGTGCCGAAGAGGTGCATTAACCTTGTGCAGGACCTTTACTCAAAAACTAATGGTCAAATCAGGGCTTATAGCGAACTGCCATCAGATATGGTTACTTCGAATGATGTTCGTCAGTGTTGTCTTACTTAACTTCCCCGTATACATGCTTTAAGAGATAGTACCATTTTCGTCTGACTTAAATTCCTATTATTCCTCGTCCGACTTCAGTGGTTATTCTATCAGGAGATCCATTTGTTGAATTAGAATACGCAGATAATATGTTTTCTGTTTAGTGAAGATGCTGACAGAATGTAGTCTTCTGATCCAAGCATGTTTGGGATGCAGTTCTCTCCCTTCAAAAGCAAAATTCTGCTTCAGGATTGGTTTGTGTTGGGGTCTGAATTAATGATAGAGAGTGTAGCATTCCAAAGTACTGGCCATCTCACTTGAGAGTATCACCAGTCCTCATGGCCTGGTGTCTGGCGAAATCTCAGTAGATTCAGAAAGCCCGATTGGCTTTTACCAAATTGTGGCGCAGGTGAGATATTCGTTTACTAACCAAAGGACGAGTCTATGGATGTTAAACATGAAGACTAATAATGGAGGATATTCGTAGGTTACTATTATTCGATCATAGGCATCTTCGAATTAATGCTCGTGTACTTTTTGACCACCTGGAAACAATCTATGGATTAAGAACAGTCATAGTTAAGGATGGAAAGTCGATTGATAAGCTAGTAAATCTCCATCAACTGCAGTGGCTGAGACATGAGTTACATATGCCTAATCACCGCGTAGCTTGACGGGTGAAGTGAAATGGAAAGCGTTAGGGGCGGCCAAACCAAAAAAAATAACAACAGTTCATGAATTACGACTACTCAGAAATCAGAGAGAACATAAATATTTCACCTTATATGAAATGTATTATCTGTGGAGGATATTGATTTTAATTATAAGCAATATCTTTTGCCAGTGTAATATTATATATATATATATATATATATATATATATATATATATATATATATATATATATATATATATATATATATGTCGATTAGAATAGAAAACCATAATAAAAATAATAGAAGGATTAAACCAGCCTTTATGAAGTGCAGACAATGGAACTAAGCCACTGGAAACAGACATTACCTAGTTTCCCATTCAAATTGTCTCTTGTTAATCTGAAAATCATTTTCCCCGTTTAAAATCTTCAGTTTATGTTTAATAATAATTTGTAAATTTTTAAAAATAGCTTTCGCAAAGAAGGTTATACAGAATAATAAAAACCAAATCACGTTTATGTATTAAGAATACCTATAACTCAAAGATGTGACAAATTAACCTGTTTTGTACTTCTAAACCACTTTGTTTTTTAGTGTGACGCCCTACTTAATGACAATAAGTAGTTTGAGTATATTCAACCATTTCTAGAGCCTGGATTTTTGTAGAATGACACTTCACTACCACAACGATGATTTTTGTTGTAGGAGTAGGGTGGAATTCACCTTTTTTTCTCGGATTTTATTGTTTATGCCCAATCTTCTCTTATACTATTAATGCTGTTACTACTTCTAATACTCTTGGATTTGTCTTGGTAGTTTCATGCCTCTAGGCTGGTGTTTTGCGTCAACCCGAAGCAATCTACATGTCCCAGGGTTCATGCTTCTTACGACTGAGTGACCTAGTCATTACTAACTAACTGAGGGTCGACTAGTCTATTACAAAACACTAGTACCTACAAAATCAATATACTTTGCAGATTCGTCCGTTAACTTCATGACCACTAAGTTGCATTCACTAGCAATCAAATTGGTTGGGAAACGACCATTACATGATTGGAAACTAATTCTATTTCATAAGTGTAAAAACGTTTAAACAAAGGTATAACAGTGACTTTATAATTATAAAGCCGTAGATATGAATTCATTGACAACACAATCATTAATAAAACTGATTTTAAGCACTTCAAATTGAATTTAACATACGATTGTTTTGTAACTTGAACTAGTGACGAACCTGTGATTTTCTGATCGATAGGCTTTAATAAGCATTTAACACCTAAGAATCAACTGCTGTGTGATGACCATTTTGTGAAGTTATTGATGCGAATTGTTTGAGAAAAAACTGAAGTTTTAGATGAATTTTATGAGATTTCCCTTTTATTTTTGCTACCCCCTACGTGTTATATTATTCCCACTGAGCTTCTCACGCCTCAATATCCAAAATCAGTTACATATAAAAGTGATTCACGTAACTTACTTGTTCAGCTTCATCGTCCTCGAGACTCCACTCTAATTCCTGTAATCCCGTTGATTTAGTATTTGCTAAAGTTTCGACTTTTGGATTACTGGATGGCTTTATAGGGCTATACTTGTCTGAAATATATTTTGAAAAACACCAATATATGTTTGAATTCAGATGGCCTACATACAGAAATGATCAATAACATACGATCACAAACTAAAAAGGCATTGCAAAACATCCACCGATAGCCACTGGTTTTTTCTTTAAACATAATCGAAATACCCTTCGACATTAAAGTTTACCAAAATTTTAATATCTTAACTACTTAGTATTAGGGATGCTAGATCCCTGGGAATCACTATATGAACTTAATGTTTTCGCAATTTAATTGTGGAGATTTGAATTTTTCTCTTTCGTACCAAAAGCACCCACTACCTTCAGTTTGTTTCTCACCTGGTAGAACTTTAAACGTCACTAGACCATTCTCTTTTTTAGTGTGCTACTTTGCGACGCTCTTCAAAGACATAACTCATATGAGCTAAGTGCTAGTGATCTGTTCTTCCGAGTTTTTGTGGAATTATATATTTTCCCTGCTAACTCTGGTCTTTTTCCTCGAGTTAGCAGGGCTGGGGTGCAGATGAATAGCTTAGCTTCGCCCTGTTATTACATTGTTGATTTACGTTCCGTCCACCACTACCAGGTTAATATCCCAATATCTAGAATATAGCACTCAGAAATGAAGAATGCCTCTAACAAGACACAGAGACGCAATCCGAAGAATCTGTGTTTCAATGTTTTTATTTTGATTGCCAGACTGGCTAAATATCAATGAAATCATTTATACATAGATTAATTGTCGATGAGATTAAGCGTGATAAGGAACTTTCAAGGGCTTGATATTGTAGTTAGTTGATAACCGAAAAACTAAACGACGTAGAGACAATATACTACCCAATCATAAAAAAGATCAATTAATTACATAGACAGAAACTAGTTAACTAAACCAAACGATGAACGTGAATATATCAAATCATTTAAACAGAATCAATCATACAAATTATGTACTTAAAATTTGTAATGGAGTTCCAAAAGTCCACTTCAAATTAGCGATTATACTATCTAGAATGATGAAAGCTTTGGAATTAAAAGATATAGCTCAGGAGACGCAATCACATGACGAATACGTTTTCTACTCATTTCAGAATTGAAACAACCTTGTATTGAAATATACCTGACCTCAATATACTGTATAAGTATCTTTGCACAACTAATAGTTGCCTTAGTTGAAGTAAATTTTAATCAACCGAATTAGTCAATGCCTATAAGAAACATTATTTTATGGTCTTGATTGCTGTTAAAGGTGTGGGAGCGGTTCTCACCTTTCGGTTACCCACACCGTGGAAGGATTCTTATGGAAGTACCTGAAGAAAAATTGGGTTAGAGTTGGTCTTAGTGACCTGAGAGCGTAACCGCAGTGCCCAAGGGACAACTGCTTGAGGCCGGTCACACACGACCTTTTGGTGGGTAATTTTTGTGTTAGCCCTGTAGTTGTTGAGACCTTACTGCCGGAGATGGATATCCTTGGGATAAGGTGAGGTGTGTATTTTTAAGATCGACCTTTTCTAATCCCATCCTTCCTTTGTGGGAAGGCAGCATCCATGTTATGCCGGCTGTCTGAGAGAAACACCTTACTGTCGTCACACCTCTGTACGGTCAGCGGTACGACCTTGCCATCGAACCTTGAGGAACGATTGTTCCAGCCAGTGTAGTCCGACTGGTTCATCACGATAAGCAAGCCCGACCATCACGTCAAGGTAACAAAAACGTTCTGCACACAGCTATAGGGTCAAACGCTAGTCCATGACTTTATGAACTGATGTCACGTTTTGGTATGGCCGCTTCTAGCTTTCTTTAAAATTACTCTTACACAAGTAAACATCCGGATTTCTGTCTTTTACAGAGCTATAAGTATGCATTGGTGAAATATTTATGTACAATGAACCTGGGTTTCAATAGTATCCTAACTGACGTAAATCTCATGTAGAGAACCCTCAATAAACTAAACTAATCTCGATGATCCCTCACGTTTCACCGTCTACATATCTCCCACTTTTTAAGCCTGATATTCCTGTGAATTCTTTTATTTATTATTACTAGCACATATCCCGTACATGTAAAACGTGATTCTAAGTTTGAAAAAAAGAACGATATTTTATCAAATCTGAAACTACATTTCTCTTCTCTAAATCTATGGAATTCAGTATCGAATCCACGCCGTGTTTATTATTTGATATACACAGTTCTACAATATAAATAGAACTGCTTCTACTAATTTTTTTGCTGGTCTATTTGAGTAATCAACTATCAATTTCTAGTATTATATTTACAGACAAAAGTATCAGTTTTGTTAATTTATCTGAAGATCAATATTCAGTGGGAATTTCTTGATAAAATTGGAAAAATATCTGTTATAATGAAATACTGCAAATACACTATTTTCTTTTCACGCTCATTAATATGACTTTCTTTCAGTGATGTGATAAATAGTATTTTAAAACAGCTTGTTTTATGCGTTATGAAAGTATGGATGTTTTAGGGAAAATAGGAGTAGTAAATTATTCGTTCAATCACTTGGTCTTTAACTACTACATTACATGTTCGAACTTGATTTAACCTACCGTATTCAGATGGTTTTATCAACTCCCAAAAGTAATGTGTGTGGTACGAAGCATTCAATTGTACTTGACTACAAAGAAACCAAGGAAAATAAGCGTTACAGAAACCTATGAAATTCCAATATATTTCCCTAGTTATTTACTATGGAAATAAGCTTAAAATATACCACGCTCAGGTCTATTTTATGGAAAAAGAACCGCATATATATGCCTGGTCCTATGTTGTAGATGCTTGACTGACTGGTAGAGACATAATTAATAGTCCAGCAACAGCTGAACTATTTGTTGGCCTTGGGTTTTATCGAGATTTCCGATGTTTAACTTGGTTAGAATTTTGCATAAAATGATGAAATAGAAATCATATAAAATCAGTTAGTTATAAAAAATTAACAAACATGAGATACGTGGTGATTTATATTCCTGAACCAATTCGACAAACTGACCTTCGTTTTCTTCTTTATCACTGTCCTCATTTTGTGTAGAATTAGCGCTTCGAGTACAGCAAAAGGTTAAAATATCAGTGATAATACGTTCTTCTGGAGCTTTACGCAATCTAAGATGTCGAATAGCTTTGTTCAAAACAGATGATGAGATATGATTTATGGCATCGGAAATACCCCGATCTACATATCGTCTGAGTCCACGTTCCAGTTCACGTGTAGTGAATAAGCTCAATCCACAAGTTAACTCTTCTGACGGTTTTTGTCCTTTACTCTCAACCATTTGTAGAAGATAATGACGTACAAGCTCTTCAACTTCAGCAGAATTTAATCCAACTTTTTTACTTTCAACTTCCATTTCATCTGGATCACTACAAATCGTACTGTTCTGTAAACCAGATTTTAAAGCGCGATTTGCTTGCGCAGCAGCCAATTTTTCACGATTTCGATTAAAAACAATTAAGTCCTTTACAATTATTAGAAAACGAAGAGTAGAGTTTACTCAAATGTCATTTTCAGGAATATTTTAACTATTATTGATTTTAGCAAACATTCTTCTCAAGAACTGTTGTATCAGAAGCGCTTATAGCAATCCAACTTAAGCAAACGCTCTTAAATTTAGATTAGTGTATGTATAAAGTGATTGACATATATTTAATCTGTCTTCAAACAGAAGCAGTAAATTCATATTATGTTGCTGTTTTTTATTGATATTTTTGTGCTTTGTTGATTTTCACAACATTAATATTTAAATTAATTTAGTCATTTATCACATTATTGTCAAACAACTCGATGTAACTGTTAATCACTTACCAACACTTCCAAATAAATTAATTTGACACTGCTCTCGGGGAGATACTGTTTAGTTTAATGGATGTTAACAGTGACAAAATTTGACTAATGAAATTTATGGAGAATTAATGTGTTTGGCTTGTATTTGGTCACATTCTGTCTTATAATCTACGCATGTGTATGTCAAAGGCATAAGATGTATTCAACTCAGATAACAAGTGAGACAATTTACACAACTAAGGATAGTATAGCAATAACTACCCTGGTAGTTATGTTCATAAATGGAAATTGATTTACAAAATAGCTTGACAAGTTGAAGTTTATATATGATATAGAAGTTCAATATCCATCGAAATTTAGAGTATTAAATCTTAGAGAAAAAGTTTTAACAACGATTGAATGCAGATAGTAGTAACACGATAATTATAACAAGTTTCATTCTTACCGACTTGTGCAGCAAGTCTTATCTAGCAATTTATTTAGAAAAATTTACACACCTATGAGATTTTGTCTCGGTCACCTGATTCATTAAATACTCACATTACTGAGACAGATGCGTTGACCTTTAGATAGTCAAACCTCTTGTTTTTCTCGGAAACTTTAGTTTAAAACTTTTGTGTTAGGCCGCAACCAAGTTTATATTGTGGATAAGATAGCGCAAAAAACTAATATGATTTTTATTGGAAAACCGTGGTATTTTCATTGTAGCTGACTAAAATACTAGGTTTTATAATTAATAAAGTGTATACCTCCCTTTTTCCGCACAAGTACTATAATAAAATTGTTAGTTATTTCTCAACCTTGAGAACATCTAAAATCGGAAGTGGACAGTCATGTTCTTTGTTCGAAGACTTTATATAGAAAACATTGTGGACTGAGAACTCAAAATATGTGTTAGGTTATACTATAATTGTCAGTTAGTCTACAGCGTAGGACCAGGCAAAGACTAGAAGTCAGGGAATTCAAGGACCGATGCCACGTTTCGGTTTGGCCGCCCCTTTTTACCAACCATCCCCAACACTAGTCAGCATTGCGTGTCGTGGTAATCGGTGTTCAGGTATATGTAACGCGTGGCCCAACCATCTCAGTCGATGAAAATTCACAACCTCATCAACTGATTTACCATCATTTCATAACACTCTGCGTCTAACCTTACCATTACTTACCCGGTGATTCCAGCAGATGCAAGCAATATTTCTAAGGCATCTGTGGTCAAATACTAGTAGCTTACGAGCATCTTCTACTCTTAATGACCATGTTTCACTGCCGTAAATTAAAACAGAACGGACTGCCGCGCAGTATACTCGCCTTTTTATTGATAGACGGATATCTCGCCTTCGCCATACGTGACGTAAGTTGGCAAAAGCCAAACGAGCTTTTCGAATCCGTGCAGAGATTTCGTCAGACACCAACCCATCAGGGTTGATCTGACTTCTAAGCTAAGTGAAGTCGTCGACGTGTTCGACTACTTCACTCCCTATCCTTAGTTTAGGTGTTGACGCAGGCCAGTTCTGAAGCAACGATTCCCATTTAGAGAGGGAGAAACGAATCTTAAACATGCTGGTATATACAATAATCGTCAGTTATGTTTATGTGATATTCTACAGAATAAAATATTTTCACTTGATAACATAGAGTAAAACCCACTAAGCGAAAATCAACTGTCAAAAGGCTAACTCATATTTGTAGAATTAAATTAACTTGTGGATAGGCTTCCATGAAAAAAATGCCATCAACTTTAAAGTTTAAAGTGTGAGACTATCAAATACCGAATTCTTACTTTCGGATTGGCCACACGACCGACAAATTTTTGACCAAATCTAAGTCCACTGAATGATTCGAATCCACCGCTTAAGTCTACGCGTAAACGTATAAGTGGTTCAACTGGGGGAAGTAGTCGTTGAGTTGATGTTATCTTGATATTTTCGTTACATTCATATTCTGTAGCACTGGTTGATTTACTCGCATCAACGTTCAGTTCATTTGCTAAAGCTTCAGATGAACAATTTACAGCCTTGCTTATTTCTGATTCAATAAGTTTGTCACATATTGACTCAATTCGCTTAACAATATCGAATGCATTTGGATCTAGTTTTGGCGCATAATCCTGTAAAATTAGATCCTTAAATAAAAATGGTCTGACAGTACGTAAAGATAGACGTGTAACCTAGAAGTAAAAGAGATACACAGCTATAGAAAAATAACAAAACTATGATATGTACTTCATCTGTGGCGAATTAATACGGTGATTTATTATTTTTTTTATTTAGCTATATGCAAATGCCTAATTTACTAAGCATATATCTATCTATCGAAAATTTTCATCAATTGATTAATATGGTGAAAAGTAATAAAACGTAACAATTCTTGATTTCCAGAAAATTTTTAATCAAGAAACTCATACTTTTATGGTGGAGATTTGTTACGATGGAATAAACGGAAAACCATTTGAACCAAATAAAATTCAACTTTACCTGTTACCATACTGTATAGTATCAGAAAAATACTTATTTTTGGATAAGGGTTATGAAAATATTAGAATTGTTTCTAGAGGAATTAATGAGTCTTATTACCCGAATCAAAATCTAGCAAGATAACGAAGGATGGGATGAGAGGAAAAAACTGAAAGTAAGGAATTTCGATCTATCAATTCAGTAATAAAATAGAAAACTACTATATCGAATTTGGGCATACACCGATTTCCCTATGTGATGGGAATAATTTATTGATCTGGATACATTCACACTTGTATTTGGACTATTTACCTTGATACAAGTAGAAAGAGTTAAGCAATTCATTTTGACTTAATAACAAAAAAGTGCCAAGACATCTAACAGTCATTATTCCGGAATCCATTTATATCTTCCTATTCGAACAAGGATATCCCTAACTGCGCATAATAATTTGGACAACTTTTTTATTTGTCCTTACTGTCGGTGTGTAATGATCAAATAAAGCTGACAAACAAATGAAGTTATATTGAGGTTGATTAGCGGACCGATGAGTAACTGGCTCATAATAAACGACGATTGACTGTACAGATGATAGTAATTTTTAGAAACTGCTTGCAAAATAACAACTTTCAATGCTAATACAATATATGGAGTTTTAAAATGCGTTGTTTTAGAAATGAAGAAAATTTCGACCAAAACGTCAACCACTTTATCCCAAATAGTAAAAATTATGAAGTCAAACGAGCGTAAATACGCAAACGACTAGGAAGAGAGATGACAAAATCTAGAACTAGCACGTAACATAAATCATCCTTAGAATGGATCATTTGACCTAATTCAAGAAATAGCAAATAGTTCAAAAGAAAATAAAGATATCCAATTTGTGTGAAAATCAGAACCAACCTTAAACTCTTTTTCTCTAATTTCCAATAATGCAACAGCTTTATTTTGTGCCTCACCTTCAGATAGAGCAGTAGCTACAGAACTCCCTGGCTGAACAACATAAAAGTTTTTAGAAGAGTTCCATTCTGGTTCTACACGACATTCATGTTCATGGCCCCAAATAACAAGATCAAGGAAATCTGGGAGAAAGTTTTCAGGCAGATAACTTGTAGGGCCGTGATGAACACGATTTTGGTGAACTGTACAAATTGAAAACCAGTCATCTACACACTCAGTAGGACGGTAAAAAGTGACATTATTATTTAAAAACAACCGATGAAGCCTCTCTTCTCGAACAGATCCAAGACCATACAAAGCCACACGAGTGTTTCCCTTGCGTAGTAGAACGGGAGTCAAATCGACCCGTTCTACTGAAGAAAACTTTCCAAAAAGATTTATCAAACCAGCAGTATGCAGTAAATCAGCTGCGCATAAGCCACCAGGACCTGAAGGGTCATCATGATTTCCATGAATGGCAAACACGGGGATCCCAACATTTAGATTACCATCTAAATAATTTGCAGTATGAAATGCTGTATTAGCAAATATAGTCTTGGCTTCACTAAGAAATTCAAATTGAACTGGTTTACTTCCCAAACAATACATACGAAGTAAACGCATTACTTCATGTAAAGACCGCATAGAAGGTCGACTTTCATGAAAAATGTCACCGGCAAACAAAATAAAATCCACATTATGTGAAACAGCAAGACGTAGAATCTCCTCAAAAGTTCGAAAAGAGTCTTGACCCCTTAAACCATCTTTTTCAGCATACCCCACATGATTATCTGTAGACACAAGCACACGGAGTACATTTTCATTACTATCAGCATTTGGCATTTATATAACCAAGTTAAAATCTGAAAGACAAATTGTGATAGATATAAATTAAATCCACTGACTAAAAAACAAATCATACACATTTACTATTAAGTGACCGAAACATTCATTATTATCGTTTTTTAATGTGATGTAATGATGCTTAGTGTCGGGAACATGAAAATGTACATTTCACAGAACAGTGTATAATATTAAGTTGTATAACTTCCCAACAGTAAAAAAACCAACGGAAAGAAGAGAATTGAGAGAACAACCTACAACGAGAACACGAAATTACCAGGGAACTAGAAGCAGTAGACATAAAAACAGATTCAATGAAGAATGAAAAGTGATCTGGTTCAGTTATTTGATAGAATCCAACAACCACTGGTTTGAATAACTATAGAGACTAACATAGGGACCTATGGTTCTTTAGATGATAGTCGATAACTTTAATAACCTTCTGTCTCAGTATGATGGACACTATTACTACTTCTTGCATAATCTAGCAACAACTAATATAGCCCAACAACTCGATAGACATATATGGAGTGTAAGTCAGTCAGTAACATCATCGAACTTCGTACGTACGTACGTACATCAGTTCGAGTTGCCACACCACATTATCACAGAGATGCAGTGGTCGATTCAAATCTCGTAGTGGTAGTAAGAGTATAAGCAGTAATCGGGAAGATTAGTGTTTGGAGATGTTACTTACAGAATATAATCCAGTGAAATAAATTTGGGAAGAGAAAAAAGAGACAAGGAGGAATCAGGAGATCAAAATTGGGGAAAACACAAAGAGTGTATGCACCTGCGCCTTTGCAAACAATTTTGAGCCATGTCATTCAGGGTCCCTAACCATCGGTTGCTATCATCTCGCGGTCCCCAACCAGGCAGTCTACACCTACCAACATGACTCAGTTCACTTGTCAGTGACTTCATGGATTTGTGCCATGCTTTGGTCCGACCGCCCCTAGCTTTCTTCCAACCTACTCCTACACCATGAAACATCGCACGTCGAGGCAGTCGGTCGTTGGGCATACGTAACACGTGTCCCAGGCATCTCAACTGATGGAGTTTCACTACGTCATCAATTGATTTGCCATCCTTACCTAGTACCCGTTTCCTAACAACTGCATTACTTACTCGATGGTCCCAGGATATACAAGCAATGTTTCGAAGACACCTATGATCGAATACTAGTAACCTACGGATATCCTCTACTCTTACCGGCCATGTTTCACTGCCATAAAGTAGGACGGAACGAACTGCTGTGCAGTAAACACGTCCTTTGGTTGATAGACGGATATCTCGCCTACGCCATAAGTGACGCAAGTTGGTAAAAGCTAGTCGAGCCTTCTGTATCCGTGCTGAGATTTCGTCACACCAGACCACAAGGGCTGATGAGACTTCCAAGATAAGTGAAGCGGTCGACACGCTCAACTACTTCACTCCCTATCATTAATTCGGGTGTCGATGTAACCCAATCCTGAAGCAACATTTCGCATTTCGAGGATGAGAATCGCATCCCGAACATGCTTGCATTGTTGCTTAGTGTGGTCAGAAGACTCTGCATTTTGTCAGCGTCTTCATCAAATAAAACTGTGTCATCAGCATATTCTAAGTCAACAAGTGAATCTCCTGGTAGAAGTTCAACCCTTGGAAATTTAGATGAGGAAAGTGTTATCTCTAAAAGTACGTCAACGACAAAGTTGAACAAGAGTGGAGAGAGTGGACAGCCCTGACGAACACCACTTGAGGTAATCGATTCTGATGACAGTTCGCCATAAGCTCTCACTCGACCAGTTGTGTCCGAGTAGAGAGCTTTTACAAGGTTAATGTACTTCTCTGGTACTCCTTTCAGTGACAAACTCTGCCATAGAAGCTTACGATCGACAGAGTCGAATGCTGCCTTAAGATCGAGAAATACTACGATTGTGAGGCGTCTGAATGTGTGTCTGTGTTCTAAAACCTGATGTAGTGTGAATATCTGGTCTGCACAACCACGTCCAGGTCGAAAACCAGCATGATTTTCTCTAGTCTGTTCTTCACGAGCTTTGGTTAGGCGTCGAAGTATTATTGAAGCTAATATTTTAGACACTATATTATTCAAACTGATTCCGATCACGATCATTGCGTAGACTTCTTGTCAGTTTGCGCTTAAGCTGACTCCGCTCTTCATTATGCTCAGAGCCAGATGGAATGCGTTTTCGAGCATCTATCAGTGCGGTAGATGCTGCTGAGATCCAGTGTTTTTCCCTAACCTTGTAGTTTACCGTACTTGTAGACATCACTGCTGTTTCCACAGCTTTTTGGATGTCATTCTACGCTGCCTCGGGGTAGGCATCACATACATGGCTGCCTAACTGTTTTTCTAGTTGTTCCTCAAACATACTCTTGACTATTATTAAGTAGGGCCCTAAGAGGTTTCCTTGCAGCGTCTTTCTTACGTCCAGTAAGACACAGACAAATACGTGCTCGCACCAGAGCATGATCTGAATCTAAGTATGTGCTCCAGAATGAGCGAGTCTTCTATTGAGCCCACTCGTCGGTGGCTGATAGTGATGCGATCTATTTGGGTCCAACGTTGGGACGAATTAGAGGGTCGCCATGATAAAAGATGTTTTTCCTTATGCTTAAAGTTAGCATTTGCAAGAAACAGGCAGTTATCTGAGCATAGCTGCAACAGACGGTCACCATTAACTGTTCTTTGAGCCACGACGCTACAAGATCCACCTAGGTGTCTTTCCATATCGCTTAGTTTACCTACTTGAGTATTAAAGTCACCAGCCACTATTATAACATCAGAGCGCCTAGCTTTTCGGAGGAGGTCAGAGAGCTTTCTGTAAAACTCATCTTTTACATCATCTGCGCTACAGTCAGTGGGAGAATAGGCAGAGACGACGAATAGGTAACGACGAGTGTCCCTATCTTTCCGAGTCCTTATTGTTCCGTTTAGTCGGACAGCGCACAAACGACTGTCTACTGAGACCCAGTCTAAGAGAGCTAGTTCTGCCCTAGGACTAAATGATATACCTACGCCAGCGAGGCCACGAGAAGCAGCATCAGGGCTCTCAGATACACGAAGTGTAAATCGAGTTGGTTCTTTATTTTGACATGGTGAGGTCAGATGAATGACGGTACTCGGATCCTGTATGCGCGTTTCGGAGACGCAGCACACATCGATGGCGCAGGATTCCAAAGTTCTAGCTAAGGAAGCCTGTTGTCCTATTTGGCACAGTGTTCGGATGTTAAAAGCTCCTACGTGCAGTTTAGTGTGTGGTTTCAGGAGACCAGGAATAGAGTTCCGCGTACTCGAATCGTTTGCCCTAGCGATGCGAGGTGATAAAGAGACGTGGGGAGGGTTAGTTATGGAGATAAGAGAGGCATTAGGAGGTGTAGGAAGGATTTGGATGTGATCAACTCGGTCTCATGTGCTGTTACGGGTGTGAGGGCTGATATCACTTCCCGGCTGCCCACACCGTGGAGGGGTATTTATTGAGGGACGCGAAAAGGAAGTTAGGTTAATGTTGGCCTTAACGACCTGGCAGCGTAACCCCGGGGCCCAAGGGACAACTGTTTGAAGCCGGTCGCGCACGGCCTTTTTGTAGGAGGTTTTTAATGTGTTAGCTCCGTTCTTCAAAAGGCCTTACCGCCAGAGATGGAAATCCATGGGGTAAGGTGAGGTGTGAGATTTTTAGGACCGACCTTTTCTAACCGCTTCTTTCCTTGTGAGAAGGTAGCATCGCTACAGATGCTGGTTGTCCGGGGGAAACATCTTATTGCTGTCACACCCCTCTACAGTCAGCAGTACGACTTCGCCTTCAGACCTTGAGTTGCTGCTTTTAGTCTTACCGTTCTCCAATCGACCTGCCCGGCATGGTAGAACCTACGAGAACATATGTTCCAGCGAATATAGTTCGGTTGGGTCATCACGATAGGCAAGTCCGACCACCGCGTCAAGGTAGTAGCTACGGTCGGGAAATGGAATGGAACGTAAAGCTGCTGAATGTTAAGTTTACATTGCTATCTATTTCATACAGTTATAAAGTATATTTGCTTGAGATGGTGAATTTATTTTCTACACTGATTGGTGTCTTGTATAAACATGAACCTGTGACAATAATACTTAATCCATCCACTAGCAACCCCTAGAATATAAGTCCTTATGTTTGGGGAAACTCAACTCTGAAGCTCAGCTTACAGTCACTATATTATGAAGTCTACATGATCAACTTCATTCTACAATAAATATAAGTGTATAAAGCAGCAAGTTTTATTCTCTGAAAAAGTGATTTGCATAAGTACGCGGTCAGGAGCTCGAATTTGTGTTTGATTGGGATATTGCGAGCCCATATTGTAATAACAAACGATCATCAACTGTTCTTTTTTCGTACATATAATTTATAATTTACATATAATTCTATATTGTACCAGAATATAATATTAAATAAAACCATTAATAATAATAATAATAATAATAATAATAATAATAATAATAATAATAATAATAATAATAGGTTCTATTGGTTACGAATTTGATTTGAGTTGGATTGGTTATCAAAATGGATGGGACGATGACCAACTGATATGAAATAATACAATATGGGCAACTGATAACCATTCATGAAACTAAATCTACTATTATTTTACATCCATTTTTAGTCCTCAAATAAACAACAATTAAGAAAACCAAATAAGCGATTATGCCGTTGCAGTTGTACTGGCTTCCTTAATTAAACAAATTGATTACTTTAGTGCAGAAGTATGATAAAAAATTAAAAACTGAAATAGAAAATGTTCAACAATATTTCAAGATAATTCCCACTTGTTGACTAAGCATGTATAGTTGCTAGAAGGGGGATCCAGGACGCCCGTTTCATCCTACTTGGGACTCATCTGAATGTCTGCATCCCAGAACTAATATTCACCTCGGGACTCGGATCCAGTACCACCTGCTTCAAACGCCATCGTATTATCCACCTAGATACTGATTTCAGATAGCCGCTAGCTTGTGC